GACAGCAGAGCTGACTTTGCAAGGTCAGCATACATGGCTGTTACGGGGAAAACAGAGGAAATTTTCCTTTATAAAGTTTGGGCACAAAAACTTTTGATGAGATGATTCATATTTTCTTGTCTGAAATCAGTAAATAATGGAGGCAGTATTCCTTTATCTGTATTTTTGCTCATATATTGAAAAATATCCCTGAGACTCGGAACAACAGAGTCAAACCCAGCAGATTAAGTATCAGCTTGTACCAACTAACATTTCTGATTGATCGATAGATTCACCACAGATAGTGGTGAAACCTGAGGATGTTGTGGTGGACCAAGGTGGTACCATCCTGGTGAACTGTGGAGCCATGGGAGAGCCAGCCCCTTCCATTCAATGGCAGCGGGAAGGAATTACCATTATTACTGAGGACAGGTTTGTTTAGGCTTAATGACCCATCCTGAGGGGTACATGGTGTTGTAACAGGTTCAAGCGCCACTAAGGCCCCGTTCATGATTGGATATCTGTTGCGAATCAATTCGATTTAAAAAAATAAATCGATTCATTTAGGAACATGAACGCTCCAAACCGGTTCCGTTGCGATTTATTCTGAACCACCTCGCGAGGTGGTCTGAAACGATACGATACGATTCGCATTCGTAGAATTGTAATCATGAACGCGCGGATGCGAATCGTACCGGTTCGACGCTGTACTCCCGGGTACGTGGGGGCCACGGTCGGCCATAGTTTGCGGCGCAGTGGCTTGTACTGCCGAAAATTCTACTTTGAATCGTACACTTGACATCGAGTTCTAATTACTGGTCGACTGAGGAAACAGGAGTTCCGATATTGACTTGGGTAAATCAGGAGATCCAGAGGAAACTGGATGGTGTGTACTAGAACCTACCCTGGGCGCAAGGGCGAGCGGCCCAACGGGGGCGTTGGGGCGGCGGACCGTGGGGGTTTGCGCTAGATGCGTCCGGGGCACAGCCTATGCCATGGGGAGGACATGAGTCGGGAACGAGCGACCACTCGCCCGGACAGGCGTAAACTCTCCGCCTTACGAGCCGGGTTCTCAGGAAATACTAGTATTCAAAGAAATTGTGATATACATATGAAATGAAAGTCAATTCGAGGTGTGAAACCGTTTCCAGTGTGGGTTCAAGTTTTGAATCACGGACGCAAAAATATATTCCGCTTCGATTCGGATCGTGGCCAAACCGGAACACATTTCAATCATGAACGAGGCCTAACAGATCCATTCCAATGGGTCCGGACCTTTTGGAGTAGTCATTAGCGCACTGGTGTCGAAAGCTGGCTACCTGGGTTCAGCGCGGGTTTGTTAGCACTGTAAGTGTCATAAGGCCTGGTCATTTCCTTAATAACCACCAATTAAACTGCAAGGTAATATACAATATAATAAATCACCAGGCCTTTATGACTAAGGTCTGCATGTAACTACCAACACAAGTGAACTTACGTGCAAGATATTTTTACTTTGTATGGTATGCTACTTAATATCAGACATCCATTCATGTTACTGTTGTGTTTAAAATAAAGTTAAACACAGGATAGAACAGACTCACGTCTGGACTCTGAGAGGTGGTACCTATGATGCAGTTGTTTATTCAAAACATCTATTAGTGCAGGGGCCAGGTAAGAGGTTAGCAACAGTTTAGTATACATGGGGATTTTGCATATCGAGAACAGATGTAACGGGGGGTGCCCTAACATCGGACGCTAATTTCACGGGCTCGAACCTACGGCGCTCTATCACTAGTTGTCAGTAGTCTCTACCAGACTACAAATGTAACTATGCTTGCTATATATAGGAGAATACATGTATTTGCCAGGGGAGTTTGGCCACCTTATAGGTTTGACTGGCCTTCGGAGGGAAAAAAACTACTAAGTACCTCCCCGGGGCCGTACTTCCTTGGCCAATTTTACCCTCTTTTTTGCTGAATTCTACGATCCGTATTCCCATAGAAAGGCCTGGTTGGTGGAGGCTAAGCTGTCAGAGAGTGGTCAGGTTTAGATGAATTAATTTTGAGAACATTAATGTTAACAACATACTTGGATAAGAAATTCATTCATACTATTCATGAGCCCTTCACGCTCCGCGTTACAAGCGACAAACTCTGTGAGGTACCATGCTGGTTAGCTCCCACAGTCGCTCACACCATGGGAGCGGACGTAAACTAACCAGGATGGTACCCAGGCTACGTTGATGATGAAATTAAGTAAACAAAAATAAGAATCTCTGACCTCCGCAGGAATAACCGACCTTGACGGATCAATGGCTTTTGAGTAACGGACAACGATTTTGATTTGTTCTTTATGGTTTTGTTTGTCTCTAAGTAATCTCATGTATTTATTTTTGTATACTTTGGTTACCTGCGTTATTTATGTTTTACATACAATTCTCTGTTATTTCTGTTAAAGTATTAACTTATGTTTTATTATTTCTGTAAACTGGGCCCCACTGAAAATCAACTTGTCAAACCTGAGTGGGCTACCCAGGTGTGTTAAAATGAAATAAATAGATAAATAAAAGAATAAAATTTCATGATATTTTAGCTTTCTTTCGACAGTAAAATTGCGATTGTGTGTACTTGTCATTTCACGAGAGGAGGGTATCTAACACAATCAAGCCATGTTTCCACTGAAAACCCGGCTTACACAATATTAATCAATGTGGTCCCATGGGAATCATGGGAAATGCAGAAGACAGTGGTGTTGACATTGTTTTTCACAGGTCAATTTTCTACAAATCAAACACTCAGAGACCAACATATTTACTGTTTTGTAAAGCTTTATTCCTTGTGTTTGTGGCAGTTGTGTCAAATTTTGGTACAGGTCGTTTCTTTCTGGGCACGAGCCGCCGTAATGAAGTGACCCTCTTTTCAGCACCATTGTTATGATTGGTGAAAATGACTGATATTCTCTTCTACAAAACAATAAATAAATATGCAGAACTCTACTTTGTATGCAAATAACAGCTGTATGCATTGACTATGATTATTTGCCTTTTTAATTAGCAAAGTTAGTGGTAACAAACATGGCATACTTTTGCATAATAAGATCAGTACAAAATCCATCCGAACTTAGGGCACGTCTGAAGTTAGGGCACCCCCCATTACGTACTATTGCATAACAGTAACGATTTCTCTTTTTATTTTAGGGTGACCATATTGCCAAATGATTCCTTACGTATAGAGGCTGCTCAGATGCCAGACTCTGGAAACTACATATGCCTGGCTTCTAACAGCTTTGGAAAAAGTTTTGTTAATTTTCGGATAACTGTGCGAGGTAATATAACATACCCTATCACTATTGTTTCTACAATGATGTTCAACCATAATACAGTACCTTCTGAAAGCCATAACTCGAACAATGCAGGTTTACAGATCTGTAAACAATAGCCCAATCAATGGAAAAATTTTGGAAAGGGGAAACTAATTTATAAAATGTCAAGATAATTTATTCTACTTTTCTGCAATGATAATATCAGTACAAACTGAAGCTAGCTCATTCTTTGATAAGAGCTTTCCTGACACTTTGAATGTGTGTTGTGTTGTTCTAATTAATAAAAAAATCCACATTAATACATAACGTTAACATTACATATGTAAAAGGGACCCATCAACAAGACTTCTTCTGTTTGCAGTACATGGTGGCTTCTCTCCCTGGCAGCCATGGGAGTCTTGCAGTACCACATGTGGGGAGGGTGTTCAGACACGCAGACGAAGATGTGATAATCCTCCTCCTGCAAACAATGGGCATTTCTGTGTTGGACCACATACAGAGTCTAAAACCTGCAATCCTAGGCAATGTGAAAGTGAGTCTGCCTACTAAGGCCATGTTGATTTGATTATGTGGATAACATCATCTGGGAACCCCAAAACTGATACAAGCATGCAAAATTTCCTTCATTGTGAAATCTACCAGTCCTGGTCATAAAGGCTGGAAAAATGACTATATGTCCATAAGCAGCGTATGGTATGGGGAATAATAATAGACTCTTTATTTTCTTTTTTTAACAACACAACAATACTCTTTTCCTGAATTGATTTCGGTATTCTATGACGGTAGTATCATTTTCCAATCCTTTTTTTTTTTTTTGCAACATACCACATATATTCACTCATTTTGTACGATTTACAGTGTGGTCAAAAAAAGTTTTTGGAAATGGATGAAAATTCATGCACGCACGGATGTCATCCATATAATCAAATCAACATGATGATACCAGAATAATAATTTATCGTATCATTGTAGCCTCTACCATGCAGGTACCAAGGATCGCTGGAAAAATAGTCACGGGATCGCAGATTGGATATTTTCTGGCCGGCTAACTCCCCTGGCATACTACCTTTATTTTGGCCAATTTCTACTATTTTTCCAGAAATCCACAGTGCCTGGTACAGGCTAGTATCATTGTACACTAGAGGAAACAGAAGAAACCTCATTCCACAGAACCTTATGTGTATGTATCTTTCAGTTGATGGAGGCTGGTCAAACTGGTCAGTATGGGAGGAGTGCTCTGCAACTTGTGGTAAGGGTGTCCATCAACGCACCCGGTCCTGCAATAACCCAATACCTCAAAACGGAGGAAAGCCATGCACAGGAGAAGCCACACAAGTCCAAGACTGCCACACTGAACCATGCCCTGGTATGTACCACATTGCACTTTTTGTATGACATCTTGTAAACCTCACAGTGACATATTTGAATGTGGGAATTGACATGTAGTTACCTTAAGTTTGTTGTTACCGTAGCATACCGTAGGTGATGTTTTCAATGGACCCTTCCGGTTGAACACCGCAAGCCCCGCCCCTGTTCTCTTTAAAACACCTCGGTCAAAAACAGCACAGAAAGGATTTATAAATGATGACCCAATTTGCCTAATCAATGGGAAATTGTTATAATTTCATAGTGGTAAATGCAAGGCAGTTAATACTTGCCACATTCGGAAGTTATTAATATATAAGTGAATGTGAACATCAATAAAGTTAACATAATTTATTCAAATCATAACCTTATTTGTATCATTTATGAGGAGGTGCTAGAAAAGGCTTTCACTGAGTGGAGAATATGACGGACTGATATAATCCATAATGAAAATGAAAATCCATAATGAAAATGCATTTTTTTATAATCAATGAAAAAATGCATACGTATAATTTCATCAGTCGTAATGGTAAGGATCATTTGGCGAAGGAATGAGGTTGTAAAACCCTTGTTTTGTTCTTTTTTTACTGTGAACAACGATACAAGTGATTAACAAATTGAATATACTTCAGTGAATGGTGTGTGGGGACAGTGGTCACCGTGGCAGCCATGTGATGTGACATGTGGTAAAGGTGTACAGACCAGACTGCGCAAGTGTGACAAGCCTGCACCCAGCCATGGAGGACTGCCGTGTGAGGGAAGTGTCAGGCAGACGCAGATGTGTGAGCTGGATGCCTGCCCAGGTAACTCTGGCATTAAACTGCACAGATATTTGCTGAAAAAGCCGCAATTCTTTAAATGCTTTATTTGCTCTTTGGTATATATACTAGTATATCTGTGTGTGTGTGTGTGTGTGTGTCCCTAATACTAGTACTAGTATCAGTATTACCTTTTCTAAGATTATGTTTTTGGGGCTCTTTGTTTGGTTGTTTTTTTGTTTTTGTTTGTGAACAGCATAATTCGAAAAGTCATGGATGAATCACATTTTGTGGTATGTTGGTAGGGTGCAACCAAAACTGGAAATGATTTTGGGTCCCTGTCAGCCTTCCACAGTGCTCCAGCAGAACTTTCTAATGGTACAGTCACAATTTTGGGTGGTAGATACACAATGTAGCTCTTGTGCTCAGAAAAAATTGACATACCTTGAAAACGCCATGCTGGGCCTCACCTCTAACTCACAAACAGTCGGCCTCCCTGGAGCGTGTGCAGAGAATGGCCTGCAGGTTGATGATAGGTTGGCAATTCACCACATACACCGAGCTCCTCCAGCATCTTGGACTTCAGCGCTTATCAACTCGCAGACAAAAACTGTGTACAGACCTTGCCGTGAAAGTAGAAAGGTCGCCTCGCTTCTCCATGTGGCAACCCCTACCCATGAACAGCAACATGGAGGGAACTCCGCAACTCTACACACTACCAACAGCTTACTGGGACAAAGCGATACCTAACCATTGCCTTTCCTGCAATGACTAAATTATTGAATGAACTGTAGAGCTTTTAAATGTGGTAGCATTAGCATGGTCGTGTAGTGTAGTTGGGGGCTGTTTGGCCTTCAACCGATAGGTTCCGGGTTTGAATCCTGCCCATGCCATGTCACCGATCTTGTACCCTTGAGAAAGGCACTTTCCATGACTTTCACTCAGGTGAAAATCAGGAGGACATTAAATGGAGGTCCCTTGCTTGGGGAGAGCCACAGCCCACACACGTTAAAGAACCCACCACACCTTTTGAAAAAAAATAGGGGCGTGCCCCGGTGTGTGATGGTCCAAATACTCATCTGATTATTCACTATGGACTCCAGGAAGAGTAGTGTAAAATTCGGAAAGAGTTTGTAATTGTCCACAATGTATTGGTTGGTGAGTGTTGAGTGTACTGTATACATGTATTTGTGTCATTTATGTGAATATGTTCTTTTTTTTAATTTACCATATAGGCCATGTTGATTTGAATATATGGATGACATCTGCCGGGAGCCCCAAAACTGATGCGAATAAAAAAAAAGTTTTGCAAAAAAAAAAAGTTTTGCAAAAAAAAAAGTTCTTTTCATTATGAAATCTACGTGGTCATGAGGGTTGAGCAAATGACACAGAATATGGTTTGGCGAATAATCTAGTCTTCAAGTTCATTTTTTTACAATTT